AAATCTACTGCACATTAGTACTTTAGCATGGGCTTTACCTGCTATGCTAATGTGCAGTAGAATTAGTCTGCTGTGCATTAAGCATCTTGTGTAAATGTGCCCATTGTTCCCAATATTGCTTTGGCCGTTACATCTTTATGGGAGTAGCAGGGCTCCTGAAGGGACCTGCATTTATGTAAACAACTCTGCAGGCTTGGGAACAGAGGCAGGTCACCTGGGCAGAGAAAGATGGGGCTTTTATCAGCAGGTAGAGAGGGTCTGAGGTATCTGCCAGAGGGCTAAGAAGCTTCTTTTCTATTTAAGTGGCACCGGCGGCTTAACCTTGAGCTCTGCTGTGGCAAGCTCAAAGCCTACTTAGAAGAAAACTGGTACCTCAGAAGCCCACAGACTGAGAGTGGGGCCCAGTAAGGGGTCCAGGCACCTATGGACCTGGACCAGAGGATCCATGTGCCCAGGGAAAGATTGAGCCAGGCTGGAGGGGTCTAAGTTGGACTAGAGGGTCCCCAAGTCCAGAGAAGGGCTAAAAGTTGGATTAAGGGGGCCAAGAGCCCAGAGGAGGGGCTGCATGCAGGACTAGGAGTCTGAGAGCCTGGAGGAGGGGCTGCGTGTGTGACCAGGGGCCTGTGGCCTTCCTCTGAACTTCTGTAAGGGACTGGGGGTCCACAGGCCCAAAGGGACTGAGTGTATAAACTGGCAACACCAAAGAGAGACCCCCAGGAGGTTTGGGTCATGGTGTAGGGCAGGAATGGAGCTACACATTGAGCCCTTAAGGTTACAGGTCCCCTGGTGGGGCGATCCAAACATAGCCCTTAAAGCTACAGGTGCACTGCAGAGGCACAGACCAGTCAAGAGGGCTCTTTGATTTTAAGGGTTGAATTGAGGCTATTGGGGGTCTTAGCAAATGGACTAAAGCTCACTCTTAAGGCCTGTAGGCAGCCTCAATTATTCAACCTCTAGTAAAAACAAAGCATAGCTGGTAAGCAATTAAGGGAGGGCTACAATAGAGACTGAGCTGGGAAAGAGCTACGCAGCCATCAGGGGGGTGTCATAGCTGCCCCTGGGGCACAAACCTGCCACAAGGGGATCCAAAAATAAGGTGCTCCAAAGAGAAGCTTCAACAGAAGCAGTCAGTAATACACTTGTATTACTATGTGCATTTATAAATTAGGAGAAAAGTGATCCCACAGTAATACCTGAATATGATGGAACTTAAATCTGGAAAGTAACTTCCTGCAATTGGTTTTACTGTATTTTAGGGAACACTGTCACAGTGAAGTCGCAGGTGATCTGATGAAGCAACATCCTACTTAAAAGCATACTAGATAGTTGACTGTACAATATTAACTTGAAGTTATTGTTATGCATATTATTATACACACAACTATCTCTAGAAATACCAAAATGCTGTCTAGTATACAACTACAGTAAGACAGTCTCTACCCCAAAGAGCTAAACAGACAATACAGGAAATGGTTCAGAAACAAACAGGTAACAAGACCTGGCCAAAGCTGTGCAGCAGGTCACCAGTAGTTTCAGGAGTTGAACTCAAGTCCCCTGAGTCCTACCCCAGTGTCCCATCTATTAGATCACTTTGCTTCTCAAAAGATTGCAGTATCATGTTTACCAGATTTTCAAAAGCAGCAGTTTTCAGGATTTGTAATAAATATATTTTAATTCAATATATTTTAATAAAATATAAAGACACAGATTTGCTTCCTTATAAAGTGGTATGTCACTCATCTTCACCTAAAATTATCTTAAAGATTGATTCAGGATTTGTGCTCTGGCCAAGGACTCAACAATTTGTATATTTCAAGAAAGGGGAGTCAAGGTAAAAGAAAAAAAATTAGCTGCCTATTGGGGAGTACAAAGGAAGTCTTGCTCTTGATACCTTCCCTTTTTGTCTCCCTGCCACTGATAGGCTCCAGTAATAAACTGCCAAAGCCTTAGAAATATCAAGTTTGCACCCATAGAGGTCTACCAGTTTCCCGTCTTGCTTAAGATTGGCCCTAGCAATTTATTTCCTTCCTTCCTAGAAAAGCTTTTAAAGAGAAATGCCCCAGCCAAGTAAACACAGGCATGTGAGCAGTCTACTACATAAGTCAACAGGACTGTTTATACCAGTCTAGGTGTTTCCAGAAGTTTGTTTCGTGATAAGCATTAAAACAAAAAGTACAAGTTAACCCCCAAAATAGCTGAAATAGTGTTAGCTTCAAGATTGTTACAGGGTTCTTCAAAAATTCTTTTTAAGTATAACTTTAAAAAATACTAAGTGCTTTCTCTTACCAGTACTTTGTATCTTTTTTCAAGTGATGGTCATGCATTTTAAAATTTTGATTGCTTCCTTTTTTGGCAATGCCCAAATAAAAACAAGAGGTGGAAACCACCTGGTGCTCTCATGGCGATGACGTATTTCAGACTCAAAAGTCATTCACATCAGAGTCAGTTCCTATTAACTGTATCTATTATTGGATGCCCTTTTCCATTTGGGTTTCACTACCTCCTTGTTAAGGTCTAGGCTGCTGCTCTTGCCATTAATCACAGCAAACAGCATTTTCAGAGACTCCATATATGTGATATTTTAGATGCCCTAGGACAGTGGTTCTCAACCTTTTTAGACTCAAGTCATCCCTTGGAAAATGCCAGCTCTTCACTTTCACCTACTGCTTGACTATGGGAAAATACTAAACTGAAAAAAAACTCAGAAAGACTGCAACAGGTCTGAATGGTTTTGACACCAGATTCCTGTTTGAAATCTGAGTTTATCTTGTGAATCATGTTTAGGTATATGCATATCCTTAAAAGGATATCAAGGCACCCCAGGATGACCCTGGTTGAGAATCAGTGCTTTAAGAGTTAGGATTGAACACTTGTCAGATGCTATGCCAAAAACTCACTGGTGAGCTGATGCAGTAAAATGGATAAAAGATAAAAGGACAGAAGGATGTTCTAAATGGATTGTATCTGGGAGCTTATTAAAGTTCATTTATGAGCTATCTTCCACATTTAAAAATAAAAATCAAGAGACATTATAAAATACACATCAAAAGCCTAAAGGGTTTAAGATTCTCTGACTTGAAGTGATGCACTGTATTTCCCCACTCATGCTACAGCTGTTCACCATAACAACCATCAGAGGAGGGAAGCTCTGGAATATCCTTCTAATGATTTTTGGTTTTAGACAGAGCTTAAGACATGCATGAATTATTACATACTGTAGTTTCCTGTGTCAGGAATGGACTGGACTAGATGACCCAGAATGTCCCTAGAATGAGGTGTCACTACGGTCTACTGACACTTATGTTAAAGGATTTTTTAGTGCAAAGCATTACATTTTCCATGTGGGTTCAGCCCATCTTAATTTCAGATTAAAATGGTATGAGCACAAGTACTGAGGTGACAGTCACACTGGACTGTGCTCTCTCCTCTAATTTATCTGAATCTACAGCAGACTGAGATAATTTGAAACATGGCATGCTAGTACTGTGAAGATGCCTCCCTCTTCAGAGGCAGATTCCAATATTTGAATCTGTTGCAAATATTATATTATAGCTGCAATACCAGTGAGTCATCTTCCTTTCCAGCCTTTAAAAGATCAGCATTTCTTACGCAGCACTGGATTTAGGCTATTTTGTCAGCGTTTTAATTTTTTCAAAGCTAGACTTTTTAGATAAAGTTAAACTTCCTCTGAAGTACACGGCGGCTGTATGAATATCAGTGAAGGACCAACTATGCTGACTTGTAATTTGGTTAGGATTTTATTTTAGGGTCTGTTTTAAATTTGGATAGGATAATGCCCTTCCCTAACCTCCTTCACTTCTCTGTACTAACAGGTGCACTTTAGTTTCCTGCTCCACCCAATATCTAAAGCCAACTGCCTGGCAGTGGCAGCAGCATTCTGAGGCAAGCAGTGCCCAGAGAGCCCACGAACTTCATGGCTCATTATAATCTACCTGCTCCTTTCTAGACTCCTCATTCCAGGCGTTGTTAAAAAACCTGTCCTTTTTAACAGTCTTGATGGTCCACCATTGAAGCTCGCCTTTCTTCTGCCATCCTGCTCAGGTGCTCCTGGTCAGGAAGTTCCTCTATCAGCACCCAGCAGACTGTTTTAAACTCATTCCAATGAAGGTAGGTTTGTTTCTGCTTCTCCCTCAGACTGAATCATTGGGCCCTAAGGCCTTCATCCTAGTAGTGAAGCTTCCAGCTTAGTTTTAACTGGGGAAAAATATGTGTGGTGTTGCACCTCACTGCCTGCACCCTGCTCTTCAAAATCCTAGATCCACCCACCCTCAGGGTTCGAATTACACTTTGACTCTTGGAGAGGTCTGCAAAAACACTTAAACCAATTCACTGATTAACAAGTCCACCTAAGTGAAGGAGCAATCTGCTTGGAGACCCTCCCCCCCCGCATTATGATTTTTCAAATCTTATAGGGGGGCTCTCATCCCCTGTAATTCGCACCCTACCCGCCCCACTAGTATTATTTTGTATGGGGAGGGGAGGGGGAGACCAGCACCAATTAAAAAGTTTAAGGGAAGAAAGCAGTTAGGGAATGAGGGAGAGCTCAGGCATGAGGTGCAAGGGGTGGGGAGGGAAATAGGGTCAATATAGTTGTTGGTTGAAAGAAGCGCCTATGGACGGTCTCCACCTCCCCGCCGCTGACACCGATGCCTGCAGGCAGTCACCCTGCCTCCAGGGGGGGCCCGCGGCGTTCGTGCCCGCAACTTTGCAAAGAATTTTTCCAACCATTTAACCGGTCTAATAAAAGATATGGCACCTACCCAAAGAAATTTGTCAGTCAATACAGTGATACTTACAGCTTTGTGGAGGCAGCTTTCACTGCCAAACACCAAGCACCCTTCTCACAACACCCCCCTCCCGCACCCCTGGCCCGGGGAAGGCTCAGGGCAACCTCTGCCCCCGCCTGCATCCCCTCAGCCTCTGAGGGCCGCGCTGGGCACAGCCCGGGGCCGAGGTCCCCCCGCCTCCGCCCCGCTCACCAGTTGCAGAGCCTTGAGGGCAAGACGCAGGCGGCCCAGGTGGGGGGAGCAGAAGCGGCAGGCGCGGGCATCTTGGGGCTCCGTGGTGTCCTCGTACACCGCGCCGTTCTCCATGGTCGCCGCTGCCAAAGCGAAAGCAAAAGGCGTGGGGCGGCGCGGCGCGGAGGGGCGGGGCAGGCGGAAGCGGCCTAACGCAGCAGATCCGCCCGCCCCTCGTCCTTCACAGCGCCCCCACGCGGGCCGGCGCGGGGGCAGGGCGGGGCTCTCGACCCGCTCTAGTCAGTCCGCGCGTGAAGGAGCTTTCAGACCGACGCGCTACCCCGCCTCGGCCGCCGTCTGTCCCCCAGCTTTACAACTGCCGGTCACGAAACAAACCCCGAGGTGTCAACACAAAGCCCTCAGGCGCGGGCTGCAACAGAAATGCCGCTTGCTTGGTTTCCTACCGAGAAAAGATCTGGGATTTTCCAAGGAGCGCCTCACCTAGGGGGACTGCTGAGGCCTGCCGGCACGGGGCATCGCCGCCGCCTCCTTTTCCGAGGGGCAGCCCCTGGCACTCGCCGGCCGGAGGGCTGAGCGCTCTCGGCTCCACTAGGGCGCGGGGGTCTCTGCTGCCTGGTAGGCATTTAAGAGGCCAAGCATGATCCGGTATGTTACACCCTACTCAGGTCCTCAAAAAAATCACCAATACAAAGAAGGTGGGTGGATGTCCCTGCTTTTTGTGACACTATTTTAAGGCTAACTACATGCAAAAGTAGATGCATTAAGGGATTCTTCAGGGGCTCGAACAGGGCCACACTCAATGCACTCAGACACTTGAGAGGTAGCTTAGGATCTGTGCTGTCAAGAGCAGGGGTTTTCAACCTTCTTCCATTTGCAGATCCCTAAAAAAAAAAGTGAACAGCAGTGTAGACCCCTTTGGAAGTTTCTAATGGGGGTGCAAACCCCTTTGAATTGCAAATGGGTATTCACACACTTTCGATTGATCACAGTCCTCTTTTGCCTTAGACCACAGGTTGAAAAAAAGCAGTGTTTCCCAAACTTTACCAGCCTAAAGGCACACTTACATTAATAGTTTTTCCGTGGCACACCTGTTAAGGCATTCCCCAGCCTCATACCTATTGTAGCTCATTGCCATGGCAAAATTCAGCGGCACGCCTGTTCATTTCTGACGGCACGCTTTTGTGCACGGCACACTGGTTGGGAAACACTGAGCAATACCTTTTGTTTAGCAGCTAGGTCAGCACAGCCCCCTGGTGTAAATACAGCACATGGCAACACAACAGAATTTTCTGCTGGAGTAGCTAAACCACCTCCCGTACACTCCTCACTAAACCTGACAAGCATCAGCATCCTTCTTTTGGCAGAGGTATGCTGGAGAAACTGCTGGTACAGATGCAACCAGAAGGTGAGGGGGGGAGGGGGGAGGAAGCAGAGGTTTAAAAAAAAAATCCCTAGCCAATTTAACTATACTAGCAACACTTCAGTATAGCCCTGGCGGCATGAATAAGTAGCAAGTGAGAAAAAGCAGCAGTTATACTGGCCCACATCTCAGAGGAGGTCAGCCAGTAGGACTGCCTAAGTTAGAACTTGTCCAGACCTCACTGGGAAGGTCCTAGGATATGCAGACAATTGCCTAAATAAAGAAAAGAAGAATCACGTTATAGCTGCTATCAAGGCTGTGTCCAGACAAGCATGGATGTGCAGTAGGCACCACACATACCTTGCAGCATGGGGAAGGAGGGGGTTGATTCTTGGAGATCCTGGGGTCAGAAAACACATACCAAAAAAAACAACTGCAGCAGCATGCATGGTGGCAGTGTGCACTGCCCAAAGCAGGAGCCTAATTGTGGATCAGGCTTCCTGCTGCGGGAGGCCCCAGGCAAGGCTGCTGGGGCCAGCACAGTTGCTGGCCCCAGCCTCCCCTTAATTTACATCTTCACTGATTGGCTTTCTTGCATGCATACCAGCCTTTGGCTTTTTTACTATTAATTCCGTCTAGGAAGAGCACACACCAAATGCGAATGCTTCCTCAGCCTGACAAATGAGGCTGAAGTTGGTTCCTTATTCCCAGTTCCTTATTCCCGGTACCTGGTTCCTTTTTCAAAGCTAATCTAGACCCAATAAAAACTTGTTCTTAATGAATTACACATCCTAAAGAGACAGAATTGGATTACCTATGCATATGTACTAATTAATATGTAAAATAATATCTCACATCAAGAACAGAGCCCTAAACGAAGGTCAGATTAGGATGAGATTATGGGGCAAAACACTTCTTGGGCCACCCCATATTTCATGGTGATGCCACTGGGGGACTGTCCCAAAGAACCCTGACCACAGTCCCACTCAGACCAAAGCACGGTTTGCCCGTGCCAGGCTGCCGACTAACAGCCCCAATGCCCACTATACTCAGTATAATGGCTTGAATAAAGAACTAGCTTACGGGTTGGGATTATGGCTAGAAATTCTGCTTGGGCCAGCCAACAGAATTCTTCTGTGCCATTGGGGGACTGTCCTGGATATCTGTGACCAGAGACTTGTCAGGCTGCCAACAGACAGCACCCCAGCCACTGTGCTTAATACATACAACTGAATAAGGAACTGGATTTTGGGCTGGGATTATACCCAGAAATCCTTCTTAGGCCACCCCAGACCACACCTCTGTGGCATCGGGGGACTCTCTTGGACATCTCTGACAAGAGACATGCCCGGCCCAAAGTGCAGTTTGGCAGTGCCAGGCTGACAACTAACGCCATCCCCCAGATGCTGTGCTAAGTATCTGACCCTGAAAAAGGAACTGGATTTTGGGCTGGGATTAGACCCAGAAATCCTTCTTAGATCATCCCAGACCATATCCCTGTGCCACCAAGGGATGCTTCTGGACATCTCTGACTACAGATTTGCCTGGCCCAAAACACAGTTTGGCTGTGCCAGGCTGCCCACAGACAGCACACCAAGCCAGTGTGCTAAGTATATGGAACCAAATAAGGAACCGGATTATGGGCTGGGATTAGACCCAGAAATCCTTCTTGGGCCACCCCAGACCACACCTCTGTGCCACTGGGGGACTCTCCTGGACATCTCTGAATAAAGACATGCCTGGCCTAAAGCGCGGTTTAGCCACCCCTAGTTGCCAACTGTCACCAGCCCCAAGACACTGTGCTAAGTATATGGAACTGAAAAAGGAACTGGATTTTGGGCAGGATTATACCCAGAAATCCTTTTTAAGACACCCCACGCCATGCCTCTATGGCACTGGAGGACTGTCCTGCACATTGCTCAGGACAGACTTGCCCGGCCCAAAGTGCAGCTTGGATGTGCCAGGCTGCCAATTGACAGCCTCCAGCCACAGTGCAAAGTATATGGATCTGAATAAGGAACTGGATTTGCGCTGGGATTATACCCACAAATCCTTCTTAGGCCACCCCAGACCATACCTCAGTGCCACGGGGGGCACTTTTGGACATCTCTGAATAGAAACTTGCCTGGACCAAAGGGCAGTTTGGCTGTGCCAGGGTGCTAACTGACAGCACCCCAGCCACTGTGCTAGATATATGGACCCAAATAAGGAACAGGCTTTTGGGTTAGGATTACAGCTAGAAATCCTGCTTGGGCCACCCTATGGCATACCTATGTGCCCCCAGAGGACTCTCTTGGACATCTTTGACCAGAGATTTGCTCGGCCCAAAACATGGTTTGGCCATGCCCTGCTGCTATCTGACAGCACCCCAGCCACTGTTCTAAGTATAATTGCTCGAATAAGGAACCGTTTTTGGGGCTGGGATTTGAGATGGAAGTCCTTGTTGGGCCACCCCACTCTATGACTCTGGAGCACTGGGCGATTCTCCCGGGCAGCCCCGACCAGAGTATTGTCTGGCCCAAAGCACAGTTTGGCTCTGCCACGCTGTCAACTCAGAACACACCACCCCTCCAGCAACTGTACTAAGGACAATGGTTTGAATAGGGAACTATTTTTGGGCTGGGATTAGAAATGGAAATCCTTCTTGGCCACCTCACACTATGACTGTGGCACTGGTGGACTCCCCCAGACATCCCTGACCAGAGTCTTGCCTGGCCCAGAGCGCAGTTTCTTCATGCCATGCTAGTAATTGCAGTCCCTATATCCATTAACATTATAAAAGGCTTAGTCTGTCTGTCTGTCTGTATGTCTGTCGTAATGCTTCTAGCCAGCTGTGTATGCACCCCCGAGGGGGGGAGGCAGTAATTGGCTGGGTGGCACATGCTGCGTGGGCCCAAGTTTGCACTGCTGCCGGGGAATTTTGGCGGTGGGGAACGTACCCCAGGTATCCGAGCAGCTGGGCTGCCCCTTACCTTCCTGCCTGAGGGCCAATGGGGTATCATGGTGGCCGCCCATCCTGGATGCCCGCCAGAATACTAGTAGGGACAGGGAGATGGGTGGCAGAGAGGGAGAGAGGGGAAGGGGGTGCTATCATTTGACAGTCTGACATGGTCAAACTGCGTTTAGGGCTGGGCAAGTCTCTCGTGTCAGATGTCCAGCAGAGTCTCCCAGTGTCACAGAGACATGGTGTGGGGTGGCACAAGAAGGATTTCTAGGTATAATCCCAGCTCAAAACCCAGTTCCTCATTCAAGTCCATATACTTAGCAAAGTGTCTGGGAGGGTGCTGTCAGTTGGCAGGCTGGCACAGCCAAACTGTACTTTGGGTCAGGCAAGTCTTTGGTCAGATGTCCAGGACATTCTCCCAGGACCACAGAGGCATGTCATGGGGTGGCCCAAGATGGATTTCTAGGTATAATCTCAGTCCAAAATCGAGTTCCTTATTTGGATCCATGTATTTAGCACCATGGCTGTAGTGGTGTCAGTTGGTAGCCTGGTGTGGCCAAACCACACCTTGGGCCAGGCAAGTTTCTGGTCAGAGACGTCCACGAGAGCCCCCCAGTGCCACAGAGGTGTGGTCTGGGGTGGACCAAGAAGGATTTCTGAGTATAATCACAGCCCATAGTCCAGTTCTTTATTTGGTTCCATGTACTTAGCACAGTGGCTGGGGTGCTATTGGCAGCCTGATACGCCCTAACTGCGCTTTAGGCTGGCAAGTCCCTAGTCAGAGATGTCCAGAAGAGTCCCTTGGTGGCACCATGGTATGGTCTGGGGTGGCCTAAGAAGGATT